TGTCTGACGTAACAATCCCGTGCCAATAAGTAAATGAAAAAAGCACGGGTTGTCACATAAGACCCGTACAATAAATAAATTTATTCCAAGATAAAGTCATTTGTACATATGCAAATTCTTTGCCAAATTCTAGAAATGCTTTTACGAATTCTTAATTTTCAACTCCGGTACGTGCATTTTTTCATTAAATATTTATAATTTTGATAATCAAAGAATAGAAATTCCATTTATTTTTTTTCAACTAGTACTAAAGTTTTATTTTTTAAAAAAAAAATCATATTACATGAAAATATCGGAAATTTATCTTACGATTTTAAAAAGCATTTATCGATTAATTTGGATGAGGTATTTTTGCCACAATAAACGCATTTAATTTCGTGTTTGTATAACATTTATTATTTTATACAATTATAGAAGATTTATATTATCGTTATTTCTATAATTAATCATATTAGGAATTATTGTGTAGCACAGAATGATCTATTCCTAAAATCTTCAAAACGTTTTACAACTCTTTATCTATCAACTAATCTTTCTGCTACAGCTTCTTTTGCCTTCCCCCCTTAGCTTTCTTACTTTTAAATTTTCGGTTAAGACTAGACACTAGAGCTCGTTATTAAACAGTAAGTTATACAAATCGACGTTATATTTTTAAATATTTCATATAAAACCCTAAATAATTCTATACAGTCGAGTCTAAGTGCAACTTGTAGGAATTAAATCTTTGCATTTAGAAAATAAATAAGAAAATTGAATTTATAAGGATCAAGTATATATTTGATGTTACACTTAGAAAGATGTTGCATTTAGAGAGATTGCATTTAAAAGATGCTGACTGTATATAAAAAGATTACTACTGTTACTCTTAGTCGAAATTTTATTACGTATAATATGAAAGTTCTTTCTAGTAAGGCATGCTATACATATCACAGACGTCCTTATACGCTGGTCACTATATCAAGATCATGGTATATAAATCAGTTATACAGTATATAGTTGACGTTCAAACCTAACTATTTTGGGACTTTGGGACTTTCTAGGATATAAACCATTATTTAAGACTAGTTAAAACTGTGGAACTTACTGTATCAATTGGCATATAACCAGTTTTGTTGGACGGCGACTATAGTTATACACTGAGTTCTATGGTTATAAGAGGAAATTCCATGACACCCAGTGTATAACTACGTACGTATTACATAAAATCATTTCACTCCGTAACTAATCATTTCGGAATTTATCTATGTTTGTTCATGTGTATAGATAGTATTTTGATTGGTCTTCTCGTCCTGCATTGATATGCAGCCTCTCCTTTTTAATGAATACGGAAGGTTTCATTAAGAAGAAGTTTATAAGTTATATATCATATTCAGATGTGCGCATATTTGAGCTATTTGAATATTCTGCTCGAATCAATCTGCGCACGCTCCTCAAAGATTTTTATTAAATTCAAGTTGTAATTAAAAATCTCTTAAGGTTCCAAAATTAGACGTATACATAAACTATTTACTAAAAATATGTATAGTAATTAATTAATTTACGATCATTTCCACGTACTGTACGTACGTATTTATATGTTTGTTCATGTGCTTGTTTTAATTTGTTTTATATTAGGACTGGTTACAGGGCGTATACTTATTTGTGCCCGTAACACATAACACAATCCATATAGGGAATAAACTGACGTATTCAAAGAAAAGATAAAAAAATAAAAATAAATGCGAAAATAAAGAAAAGCGAGTGTCATAATCGACGTAGAATCACTAATTAAAAGTGTCGGGAATGTAATTTTGCATATAATGCTCTCTATTTCTCTGTCATTACAGCATTACTGCTTAGTTTGCGTATTATATCTTATGTTGATCTATTCCATGTATGGTTGTGTTACAGGCGCAAAATCCAGACCTCGGGAAATCCGATTCAACCAACAAACCGGCGTCTAGATTTGACGAGTGAGTGAAAATAAGCCTTATTATTCGAGGGGGTTTGCGATAAGGTGCATGAGCAAGATAAATATCTAAAAATCAATGAAATTTCTTCGTTTTTAAATAGGTATATACTAATATATTCGCTTAAATTTTGAAAGCATTAGGGATTGTTAATTTCGTCATAATAATGGTACTACAGTATTAACTATCTCAATTAGGTATGTTTACCTTAATTTGTGCTAATTATTTATTGATTCGTACGTAGACAATAACTGTATTTACTGGTACCTGATATCTCATTTAGGGTTGTATAATTCGGGTTGATTTAACAAACATAGACTATTTATTTAGTAGTGATCTCTTGGATAAATATTTCAAATTATAGATAGTTACAAATTTTTTAGATTTCATTTTACCCATTATCTAAATAGTTATACTTTAATGTAACAAACACCGTATAAAATCATGCCAAAATTTCGAAACTTCTGTCAAAAGGAAAAGCGATCACCACATTAAAAGTTTATGTATTTAAATGCATTTAATAATGATCAAATAGTTGACACTTTGTATAAATACTAAACATTTACGTACATACGTACGTAAGTACGGTGAATAAATTCCTTTCTGTTTAATATTTTTTAAATATTAATGTTTTATCAATTTTACATTCTTTACATTCTTTAATACATTATCAGTCGAATAAACAAATTTAAAATTTCTTTAAAGTAATATTGACATGGGACGTAATTTTTCTAAATTAAAAGTATTCAAATCAAAAGAAGTCAAATCAAAAGAATTCAATTCTTTAGATTCTATAGATTCACAAAGTTCACAAACAGACTTTCGATACGTTGAAGGTAGAAGATTTCATAACGCAGAAAATCTTGTATACCATTTACCAAATGATGATGATGAAACAGATAGGTTACATTCACAACATTTCATAATGAGATATGTCTGGCAAAATAATTTTTCTGCTCCTGTCGACCAAATTTTAACTACACCGGGAGCCAAAGTTCTTGATATCGGGTACGTATGTAAATATTATTATAATGGATTATAATAAATTATAATAGATTATAATAAATTTCAATAGATTATAATGATTATAATTGATTATAATTGATTATAATAGATTATAATAGATTATGATAGATTATAATATATTATAATAGTTAGGTAATTATATTTGATGGTGCCGAGTTTACCTATTTTCGATCACCATGCCAAGGGTTGTAATAATTGTCCGAAGGACATTACGATAGAGGAGTGTGTGCGCGAGTCCTGGGTTTTGATTGGTTGATCAGGTCCCAAAACAATAATTATGCTCCGAAAATAACCGATTTGTCGGACTGATCCGTGTTGATTCCTCGGATAGTTTAACCATTATCTACCTTACAATCCTTAAATATGCAAAGTTCATGGTGATTGATGAATAATATTTTGATCCGTATGTGAACAAGAAGAAACAAAATTTTCTCTATATCCGGCGGATCATGTTATTATTAAAAAATTGTATTTATTTTATTATAAATCCACACAATATATTACGATAAAATTATAATTGAACCCATCGAAAAAGGCTTTAAATTATACATATATATATATATCGGAACAATTATCACACGTATAATTTATGAACTCAAAAAAGAAATCTTTTTATTAAAAATATTTAAAAATTAACATATCGATATATTTTATTTAGATGTGGCGCAGGGTCATGGTCATTTGATATGGCAACCATGTGAGTATTATTCGAACAAATAGTATCTTTTATTTTTTTTTACCGCAATGTTTTTCGATTTCTATATTTAGAAGAGTATCTAAAATGAAATGTTGTGTTGAGGTTAAGGTTAGAATAAATATTATATAAAAATTTACTATCTCAACATTCTTTTATTAACGCTGATTAAAGTATTTCTCTTGTATTTTTCTTTTTTTTGATTTTGCTAGTAAAATTTATTATCTAATTAATAAGAAAGCGAAAAACAATGTAACCTTTTAATTCTTAATCTTATTTGAAATTATTAATCTTTACGTGTAATATTTTAGGTACCCATTAGCTGAATTTATTGGATTAGATATATCTCCATACCAACCAACTCAGATAAAACCTAAAAATTTTGAATTCGTTAAAGCAGATGCTCAAGAAGGGTTGCCATTTGACGATAACACGTTTGATTATGTATTTCAACGATTTTTACTTCTTGGATATGCTAAAGAGAAGTGGCCATATGTAATAAATGAGATTGTTAGGGTTTTAAAACCAGGCGGATTCTTAGAAGTATATTTATTGAAAATTAATATGGTTTTTATTAAGATTTTAAAATGTGTTTTTGATCATTTTATTTTATATTTTTTAAAAAGTTATCTGAACCTTCCAAAGTAATTGATGGAGGACCAGCTACTCAACGTTTATGGGATTGTGGTAAGTATCTTACGTAATGTTATCTGATAACTTTATTCTTTATTTACATAATGTTATATTCAATTATCATGAAGAGGTTGAAGTATTAGAAGGAAAAGGCGGTGATTACGATATAACACTAAAAATAGAGAAATATTTACAAGACCAAGGTTTTTGTCTCTTTATTTAATTACATATTTTATAGATAAAATTTAGCATAATAATTCATTAATAATTATAATTATATACTCTCTAAATTAGGGAAAGTGGAGAATATTAAAAAAATTGTGAACAAATTCTATTATGGTTTACAACACACCGACAATATTAAACTTAGTAAAGCGGTAAGTATTGTACAAATTGTATCAATTGTTTTTTTAAAAAAAAATTAATCTTAAAAAAGTAGTTTTTAATATTATATAAAATTAACAGTTTGTCGGTAATGTAATTTCCGTATATGCTTCTTTAAAACATGTTTTATCAAAAAAATTGCAAGTTTCTGATGAAGAATATGATGAGTTGTCCAAAACCTCCGAAAAAGAACTATATGAACTTGATACTTATGTTAATCTTATTCGTTTTTATGCGAACAAGGTTATTGATAAAGAATAATGAATCAAAAATTCAAAGTAATACATAACAAAAAATATTTAATTTTTATTGATTTATATTTATTTAAATTATTTACTATCTAAAAATCTTGGATACATTACCATTCTACTATAATCTAACATTATGCGTATGTATAATACAAAATTATTAACACAAATATTTCATGATTAAATAACGATTAAGATTTAAATTTAAGAAATAATAAAATAGATTCAATTTATTAACTTATTAGTTTATGATATTCACAAATGTTTGTAATATTTATATATTTGATAAGTACGGTAAATTACATATTTTAAATTATTTCAATAAATATTTTTATATTCATGCACTAAATTACAGCCATTTTTGAAAATGTGTAAACAACGATTTCCATATATCTACGTGGGAAATCGAAGAATTTGGAAATTCAAGTTAGTAAAAATTAAGAACAGGTCTGGGAAATATCTGAAATCCCATGACACATGACCGTTCACACCTTTTTGAAAACAACTGTAACGTAAATAAAATGAAACTAAGAAATATTTCCCCAGTGGCATCATGGGAGCTCTGCGCCCATAAGAGAATATTTCAATTATTCCCCGGCACGGCAGAATTAACGAGTTATTCCAGTTACTAATTATTTTTAAACAATTTTCTTTACACTTTAACTTTGGAAATAATAAATGCCTATTATCACCCGTGGCTCCGTGGAAATAATAAAAAAAATTGGGATAAAAATTATGATTAATAAACGTAAATCTCCGTCATGTGATCATAATGAGACAGGAATAAATAGTAAATATTATGAACTTAATAGCTTATTTTAAATATTTAGGTTAATAAATGTCGTGGCTGAAGCTGGAAATGGCTGATGCTGGAAATTTTAATTATTTTAATATGAAATTTACAAAAATTTTTTGGGCCTTTTGTTAGGGGGTTTTTTTTAGGGTTAGGTTAGGGTTTAGTAGTAGTTTTAATAATAAAAGAGTATAAGTGGATTTTGGTAGGGTTTTTATTTTTAAATCAAGGTCCCTGATTTCCAGCTTCAGCCGTTTCCAGCTTCAGCCGCGACAATAAATATTCTTTATACACATACATTAAATTAATAAAATAATCGAATAGAATATATTCATGAACTAGAATAGTTATTTTAAATGCTTATAAATGTTGTGGGTGGATTCAGAATTCTGTAGATTCGGAATCTACTCAAGTGGATGCCGAATCAACTTCATACTATGCGAATGACTATCGCTTCTATACACCAAATAAGAAGTCTACATCTACAAGAATTAATTATGTATTTATTCTTACAATTACATTTGTGCTATTTATAGTAAAAACAGACTGCACAATTAAAATGATATATAGTACATATTAATTTTGACTCATTTGCATTTTAACAACAATGATAATTTGTCTATTTGGACCCATTTAAAATTTCAACTTCTGTAGTTGAAAAAATTTTAAATACTTTATTAGCATAGTTACAACCATGAAGACTAATCAAAACATGAGGTTTTTTATGTTACTATCGTATCCACAGAGCCTAATATCATGAGATTTTTGTACTTCTATTGCAGCCGTGTACCTGATGATTCCTTGCACTACTATTATATCACGAATAATGAGTCCCTTGCGTTGTTATTGCAGCTGCGAAGCCTAATTGGCATGAGTTTTTACACTGATAATTGCAACCACTAAATCTAATTACTAAGTATGAGGTTCTAAAAGCTATTATCACCAGTGTTAGCACATGACCAGTCATAATAGGTCATATTACTAAGTTCAAGGGCGATTATAACGACACGGTATGCGCGTGATTTATCTCCGTTATTGGTACAGTAAGTGATCGACAATAAAAATCAAAGATTTTTTTTTTAATTATTTGAATTCTATAAATCCAGAGTTCAAATAGAAAAGATTTTATTAGATTCAAGCAGATAATTATCGAGATATCTTCACTCAAAAAATCATCAAGTACCTTGTTAATTATCAATTTTAACTCTAGACCTTAACACAACCCTAAAAAGATAAGCGTAAAAACATCTATAAAAGTTTAATATTTCATACCAAATTTAGCATCGGCTATTTTAGCGGCAGTCATGACAATTGGTTTCATGTAATTTGCAATTTTGAACACATGATATCAAATTTTCAGTACAGTCGTCCTCCCATATAATCACCTCCCATATAGTCACAAACTCTATATTATCATACCAAAATTATGATCCCGTTTTTTTAATATTAAAAACACCACCTCCATACAGTCACAATCATATTATAACCACTATCACACTTTTTTAGAATCCTCACAATCACATTTATATATGATCGTAGATAGTTTCTATATAGGAAGCTACGATTTTAATAATTAAAACAACTTTTATGCAATATGTTGTCAGACCCGGAAACAGCGAGTCTGTCGCTAAATCGAAAGTAGGTCCGTGTAACCACACCTTAGGTTACTTTAGGGTGGAAAGAGGCGTGTTAGATTTGGACGAGTGGTTAATAAACGAATGTATGTAGTTTATTATGTACAGTACGTATAGGTAATTTATTATTAGGTAAATCGGGTGTTATTCTTCCCGAAGGGCCAAATGCCTTTATTTATAATTGTTAATTCTATTATTTACATTCCCAGGAATCTCCCATATCCTTAAAATCATCAATAAACCCCATATCGGCCATATAGTCCATATCATTAAGATCCGCCATTTCACCCAAATAACCCCGATCCTCCAGATCTGGCGGTTCCGACATATCCAGGATATCTGGCAGATCTGGCAGATCTGGGCGGGAAACCCAAAATAAGATTTACCGAGTCGCGTGGTCACGTGCCTGCCGTCAGGTCACGTTCCGGTCTCACAATGTAAAGCTATTAGGAAGAATAAAATACACCTACTGTTAAAGTTTTTTCTCATTTTACGTACCTACGAATATAGCTAAAAAATTTGTAATTTTTTAGCTATATTCGTAGGCACGTAAAATGAGAAACAATACCAATAAAAAATTATTCAATTTAAGGTAGGTATGGGTATTATGGCGCACTACTAATTATGGCGCAGTTGCAATCTCTCATGACCCACTGATTGGAATTGTACAATCTTAGTACCAATCGATTCGTCTCAGTGAGGCAAATTAATTGGTGGTGAAATCATTCAAATCCGATTGCTAGATCACAAGATATTGCCAATAAGCCACAATACTCCATTGCGCCATTTTATATTTATTTAATTTTGTATCACAATGATCGTCAATAACGCGTGACCTCGTGGTACCATTCGATTTGAAACGTTAGATCACAAGTTATTCCAGATTTACTTTTAATTACTATACTTTGCTTATAATATTTAAACGATAATATCTTGAGATCTACTGATTAATGTTGGATGATTTTTGTATCATTCAATTTGTCTCATTGAGACGAATTGATTGATGGTAAAATTAACCAAATCCAATCACTAGACACTGAGATATTGTTAGTGCGCCATATTGCACTACATTACCCTTAAAATTTTGTATACATACAATCGTGATCCTGTGATCGAAATTAGGCAATTTTAGTACCATTTGATTCATCTTAATGAAACGAGTCAAATGGTACCAAAATCATTTAATTTGGACTAATAGATCATGAGTTGTACTAAATTTATTTTAACTGCACCATAATATCTATACTTAACTTACATAAAAATTTAACAGTTGGTGTATTTTATTCTTCCAAACAACTTTATTTATTACATAAAAGTTAGTTTAATTAATAAAATCGTAATTTTTCTATATTAAAACTATCTACGAATATATATAAAATTTTTAAAATACCTCTACTAAATTACTTTTTTTATATTAATTAATGATTCTCCAGTCAACTGGAGTGTAATCTTAGTAAAATGTGACTCAGATTACTATATAAATTTACTATAATGTGAATGTGATATTCGTCTAAGGTAAACTTTTTTTCATACTAAGTTAATCATCTTTCTTGCTTAAGAGACTTTTGTAAAGCTTGTCAAGACGCATC